CTCTCCCCCCCCCCCCCCCCTACAAGCGAAAATTAGTTCGAACCTTGCGATATAGACTTGATCTCAATAGATCACATACTTGTATTAACATATGTAGTCATAGTATACAAATGAGTGCGAGAGATGGTGAGCCCGACAGGCGGCGGATCGGGCCTCACTCCTCCTTTTCTTTTGCGACAAGAGATTAGTCCTACTGTTTTAGAGTAGTAACAGAGAGACACGAGCTACAATTTCATTGCCATTACGAATTGAGTCTTAAACTCTATTAGGAGTGAGAGAGAGGAGGGTTAGTAAACCCATGGGGCCGCCGGATGCCTGAAGTTATACTTCGGTAGTTCCGGGCATCCGGCGACAGGCTTTCCGCGGTAGCGGAACGGAGGGAGTTTTTAGTTGATAGGCGGACCTGGTTGGGTGGCGGCAAATAATGGCATTGGTCCCGTAGAGTAGTCGTTCTAGAGTGAAAGTAGGGCCTTTCTCTTCGGGAATTGGACCCCATGCGAATAGTCTTCTGACGAAATTCGAGTCTAGCCTGAGCTTCACCCACCAGACGAAGTTTAAATCCAACATGCGCGGTAATGGGTTCAAACTCCTTCGGATTGCCTAACCGGGATATAAGATTTTTCCTCCTACACAAAATAAAAAAAAAATAATCAGAATTAATGAGTAACATTTCTTTGCGAACTTAGCGATTTCCCGCTAATCTTCCTTCGCATTAGTTAGCCTTCGCCAGCGCCCGGACACGTTCGGCGCCACATTGGGCACAGCAGCCACAACATAACCACATACATTCGGCCGTAGTCTCTCTCTATGATTCACTAGAAGAGGCTTGAAAAATTATCATTCTTTTCCTTATCGATTAATGTATTTAAATTATTACGATGGTCTTTAATCGCTTTAACAATAGTAATAAAAAAATCAGGAAGACGACAAAGCAAATTGAGTTTCTTGAATAAGTCGACTTTAACTCATTGGAACTCAGATAATAATTTTTTTAATTAATATTGTTACATTTACTGTAAAGTGGCATATTTTGTGAACAATATGAAGCAAATTTAGAACTCTGTGATTGTAAACATAATCTACAATTATTGTTTTTATTAAAATACTTGTTTTTGTAGATGACTTGGTACATTACAAAATTTAAAAAAATGACTACAACATATAAACGGAAGCCAGGCAAACGAAAATACAAAGACTTTGATGAGAAAACTCTTAATGACACATTAGAGGATGTTGCTGAAGGACGCAAATCCTTACATAAATCTCAGCTGCTGAAGCTTATGGCGTTTCAAAGTCAACTTTATACAGCAAATTTAAAGATCTAAATTTTTATTCTCCAGAAGGCCAGATAACAAAAGTCGACGAGGACAATATCGTACACGGATTACTCATTGCAGCTAAGTGGGATTTTCCACTTACTCCAACAGACTTAAAACACGTAGTCAAGCAGTATCTCGACCAAAAATATTAAAGTAAAAATATTTCATGACAATATACTTGATCGTTTTTGGTTATAAGAATTTATAAAATGACATAAAAACTATCCAAGCGTTTCCTTTGTGAAAACATTAAGCGATCTCGTTTGTATGTTTCCTTTGTGAAAACATTAAGCGATCTCGCGCAATGGTGGTCTTTAGGGATATAATCAATCATTATTTTAATAATTTAGAAATAACTTTTGCTTATATAAGTCCAGGCAACTTAATCAACTTGATGAAATCAACATGTGCGAGTCAAGGCAAAAAAAATACTAGTTTGTAAAGGTATAAAATGTCCGGAAATAATTGATACAATAAAAAGTAGTACATCTATTATGTTTGTTATTGCTAATGATGGACAGTTATTAGCGCCCTATGTCATTTATAAAGCTAAACATGTTTATGATGTATAGAAGGAGGTCCAGAGGGAACTGCTTACAATTGCAGTTCCAATGGTTAATTTGATAGCTCCCTGTTTGAAGACTGGTTCACAAAAGTTGCACTAACATATTTACGTAAACGAGAAAGAATCAAAGCAATAATTGACGATAATCTTGAGAGTCACATATCTTTATCTACGATAGAACAATGTGAGAGACACGACATATGTTTCATCTTACTGCCATCCAATAGTACGCACTTAACTCAGCCTTTAGACATGTCATCATTCTTCCATCCTTTGAAGAGAGCATAGAAATTTACTTTATTTGATTGGAAAAATAAAAATCGAGGAACAATATCAAAGATACTTTTTCCTGCATTATTGAAAACAACTCTAGATTTAATCAAAAATGTAAAGCAGAATGCATCTGATCTGTAAGCTAATATCCTATTATAGAAATCAAGTTTTAAAAAGACTATCAGAGGAAAACAATAGAAATATTTGGGCCAAAGCGTTTGAAGATAGCTTAAAACAAGCTCGTGAAAATCAACCCCTTCGTTAGCGCAAAAAAAAAAACAATGTGCCTCCAAGTCTATCATGGACATGTTTAAATGAACATTCAATACAATTAGAATATACAAAACGTAGAAGGATTTTTGAATCGATGGAAAATAATTCAAATTGCGGTAATTATAATAATAAAAATATGAGAAAAATTTGCAATAAAAAATCTAAAAAAATTTTAAAATTTTTTGTTACTATAATATTAAGTATTACTGTTGAGTAAGTATTACAGTTTATATTTAATGTTTTTTGTTACAGAAAAATTATTTATATTTAGAATTCAAACAAATGTGCAATTCAAATAACAATAAATCATTATTCTGACAGATTTATTATTTCCTTTGCCTTTTATGGTACTTTCCTTAGTCATCTTATTGTTTGGTGCGTTCTAAAATTCAGCGAACACATTTAGATATCCATAAAACATATTCTGTCGCAAATCGCCTTCATGAAGGTAAATGACGATTCGTGCAAAGAATTATACATAAAGAGTCAAAATAATTGTGTTAAATAATTTAAAACGCTAGAAGTTACAGTCGAAATATAGCAAAACTTATCTTAAATCACCCTTATCTATAGTATGTTATGCATACAATAAAAAATATACATATATTTATAATATATATAAGAAATATATCACAAAAGATAATCAAGCGGTGGATATAACAAAATAAAGAGCATTTTGAAAACTTATAAATAATGTATTTGTCAGTAACATATTTGTTTTAAAATCCGTTAATTATAAAAAATGATTTATTAATTAACTACGCTGGGACTCAACAAATTATTAGGCTTGATAGATTCGGGATAAAACGCTTAACCTGAAGTGTATCTCATTACGGATTGGATAAATCTGTATATCTACTGTACATCGCAAATGACATGATCAGTCAGCCTCTTAACTCTTGCAGGCAGACTTTTATCAGTTAACACTTTTAATAAATTGCTTTTAATAAACAGATTCACATCTGTCCTAAATCATCCACGCAATCTATCCTAAATCAAAATAAAAAATCAGTATTATGAGCTAATTACTATTGAGCTTCTATTCTAAGTAGTCATTAGAAATTGCAAGATATAAAGGCAATTTAATAAATTTCTCACCCATTCTATGCTGCTTCAGAGAGATACGAGATTTTTCTTCCTTTTGATATGAGATACAATGGGCCACTGCTGTTCTCCTATAGGGATACACACATTCATTTCATTTTTCTTTTCAATACATTATTTTCCTTTAAATCATTATCAGTATATTTATAATATTATTATAATATTATTCATAATATTATTTTCATATATTATGACTGATGTAGATCTGACACCTAATTTTAACAAAAATGAAAATGAGTAGTGTATGTGTGAACATCTTCACATATATGGTCCTATAATATTGTATATTGTTTATTTACGTCGCCTAAATAGACATTGTTTCTTCATATGCTAATTATTGCGAAGAATATTACTAAAGCCTCGGTGGTCTAAAGGCTTAGGACGCTCGCCTGGAAAGCAAGAGATCCGGATTCGACTTCCGGCCGAGGGGATATTTTTCACAATAAGAATTAATTATTTACAGATTTTAATATGTTACTTAGCATTATTAACCATCCAGCGGGAGCGCCAGTGTACAGAAGACACTGTAGAATAAGATTGAAAATTCAAAAGGTTAAAGCACAATATTGTCAAATAAGCATGTCAATTATGCGATAAAAGTTTATGATGTTTAAATGGTTATTGAGCGTTTATTTTAAAAAATAAGTATCACATTATATTAGAAATTACATTATATTGAAATACAAGTTTTATTCGCTTTCAGTCGTATTACAATTATTGCAAATAATTATTGCAGTTGTCGTTGAATGTTTTTTGCAAGTAAAATGAAAACATTTGTTGCATTTGAAAGTGATGATTGTATTTTTGCACAATCTTGCACTTCCCTCGCTTTTCATCGGCATTGAACGATTTCTGTGTACACAATACGGAAACTCAAACCCTTAAAAATCGATTCTACGTAAACAACGCACGCTAATAGAACGTGACTTAAGCGAATCGACGACCCAAAAGACACTGAAGGAATATCTTGGGAAGCCGAGACTCAGACAATAGATTTTACTTGTATCCCCTCCATAAAAACCGGCGCGCGTGTACGGAGAATGTGCGCGCCCGCTGGAAGGTTAAGATCGTTCGAAAATACGAAAAAGCATCAAATTGTTAAATTGCTAATCAATTCGTGATATTATTGCAGTAGTTTAGTAGAGTTAGCGTTTCAAGATCGAAAAATCATTTCGGCGTGCGTTTCAAAGGACTGCATACGTAGTACATAAATTTACAGAATCATACAAGCATTTAAGATCCAGCTAGACGATTTAAGGCAGTGTTCGCAAAGATTTCCACATTTCGGCGAGCGACCTCCGAGTTGAACTGCCGAGCGCTCACGTGACGTTTTGGCTCAGGAACGTCCCTATACCAGAAATATACTGGGAGCGCACCTTCCGCCAAATTATTATTGAAACATTTTTTATTAAATAATTTATTTTTATTAACATAAAAATTAAAAAAAACATCTTACAATAGTATCTCACGGTGATGTGGAAAACTATTGTCGAAATGTACATTATCATAATTATGTAATAAATTACGTTAAGATATAAATATATCATTAAAGAACAATAATAAATTAACAATAGAAAATTTTATGTTAATAGAAATAAATTATTTAATAAAAAACATGTTACAATATAATAATTTGGCGGAAGATGCGCTCCCAGTATATTTCTGGTATAGGAACGCTCCTGAGCCAGAACGTCACGTGAGCGTTGGCTCGACCACCGAGCCTCGAGCGGTGGTGAGGATTGCTCACCAGAATTAGCTCGAAATGTGCAAATCTTTGCGAGCACTGATTTAAGGCATTGATTTCTATAAAATGGATACTGTTCGTTTATACTGCGTTTGTACCTGTTTGTATCATTGTTATTTTGTTTATTCTTCAATGACTAACAAAATTTCTAAATTTCTAAAAATTCGGTTAACAAAATCAATAACAACTTGAAAAAATTACTTACAGAAAAAATGTGGATACATTTCTGAAGATATACAAACGATTATATTGTAGCAATGACAATTTACATAGAGTTTACAGCCTACAAACTATCACCCCTTAGAATAATAGTTGTGTCAATCAAATTACCCCCTACTTCCAAAATAAATTGCAATTCTTTGATGAAAAGAATTAAATCTGACAAGAATGCAATTCACTTCAGAGGAAGGTAAACTTAAGATATTAGGTGTTGGAATTAATTCGTAGCGTTTTTTAATGAAAGAATGTTATTTATTTCACATGAGCATTAAAAAATACATTAATGAAAGTACTTCCCATCACTTGTAAAACGCTACGAATTAATTCCAACACCTAATAATTTCATCAACGTACCTGTAATAAAAAGATACTGGGAAATTAATGGAGCTCATCACAATGTTTTCTAAGTGCATAACTAGATCCGCAATAATTAGCAATAATCCATCGAGATGCCAAACATCTGTTTATAGAATTGACCATCAAAGATAAAAAAAATGGAATCTAAGACCAATCGCACTGCTATTAAAAATTCCTCTTTAGGGATATTGTAATTCTTACAAATAGAATTCCATCTGTTTGAAAGAGCGTCAATAGTCAAGTCCATCGGTATGTTAGTGAATAGCGATATCACGTCAAGAGACACTAAACTGTAACCCGAGTCAATTTTAATATTTTTCAGTCTTTTTACCAAGTCAAAGCTATTATTAATATGGCTAGGACCTTTCGGAATACTCTTAATGATCAAACAACGCTAAGTTATCAATCAGAAGGCTATCAATAGAGCTATCAATAGAAAAAATAGACTATAAGTATGGACAATTCGGCTTATGTACCTTTGATAGGTCATAAACTGTAAGTAAATTGTCATCACTACTGTATAATTGTTTGTATATCTGTTCAGAAATGTATTCAGATTTTTTCCATCCTGTAAATAATTTTTTTAAGTTGTTGTTAATTTTGTTAATCGGATTTTTAAAAATTTTAAGATAAGTATCCTCGTCAAGGAGCATTGCATTGATTTTTTTTCTGTAAGTTTCTTTATCTAGCGTCATAAAATTGCCTTTATCTGCTTTAGTAAAATTAATATTTTGTTTGTTCTTTATGAATTGTTTAGTATAAAGCGAGATAGTTTTAATAATGGCTGTGAATCCCATTCTTTTTGTGGTTGAAATTTAATAACCTATTAATGATCGGTAACGAATGAATTCTTACTGTATTATGCACAGAAGCTTAAAATTTCTTAATATTGTTTTCAATATTTTTAATGAATTACATAATCAAATACTTGCCTTTGTAAATTGAAAGCGAGAAATTTTACCTAACTGTAAAAGATGTTGGATGTTTTTGAGAATGGAAATTGATGAAAAATTACGGAACCATTTTTGTCTAACAACCATTTCTGTTCATTTCTGCCCAACATAACTGCTCTTTTATTCTTTAACTTTAATTTTAATTTGTAATGATTTTGATTGATTCGCATTAATTTGACGATATATGATGTACGGTTACGGCGGCTATGTGATAAGCACTATTATGATTTTTTCCAAATTCTCCATCCATTATAATATGTTGCCACGTTAAAATCTTTCTTAATATTCTTTAGCTTGATACTGGCTATCATTTCCACTCAGCTATGCAACTATTTGGTACAACATTCAAGATGTCGATGATGGAACTCCTCATCACATTATGGTCATAATCACGTAACGGGAATGCGTTTTCACGATATTGTATTTTAATTTATTGTTATTTATCAAATTTGTGCTGAAGATAACTCAAAACAAAGCTAAAATATACTCAAAATTTTCGGTATTTCTATAAGTTTTTTGCGCAATTGATTTCTAGTGCTGACTCCTAATGTCCATCGATTTTCGCATATATTTTTAAGATTTTACCAATAATTTAAAATAAGATACTTATAAGATAGTGGTTGCATTTAAATTTCGGAAAAAGTTATGTATAAAAGTAACACAAAATAATTACGTTAAGTATATCATATAGACAGTAAAAAAATTAGTACATTGATATTTCTAAATGACGCAACGACTGAGATATGAAACTCACAATCCTAAGATCCCAAATTAAAATCCCAGTAAGTAAAAAAATAAAATAAAATTGTAATAAAAAATTACAATCAATTGATCAAAGTTACGAGGGTACGTCAATAAGTTCTTAGAAAATCTGTCAGATGGCACTCGCAGTGTCATGTCACATTACTTTTTGACAAGTAGTATCTTTCAGCTGATTACTGTCAAATTTTGAGCGGAATTTATCGCATGGCTTCATTTCTGTAGACGATTAAAGCGAATAACCTTTGTATTTTTTGCAAAATGGAAAAAAACGAGTTTCGTGCAGTGATCAAACATCTACATATGAAAAGTTTAGCGCCGAAAGAAATCAAAGTCGAGTTGGATAATGTTCATAGCACATCTGCACCAGCGTTTGCGATTGTATACAATTGGGTGAATGAATTTAAACGTAGTCGTACATCCATATGTGATGCACCTCATTCGGGACGTCCAATTAAGGTTGCTACGCCAAAAATCATTGATAAAGTCCACGATATTGTTTTGACTAATCGACGAGTGAAAGTGCGCGAACTTGTTGAGGCCACAGGCATATCACATGGCACAGTGATTTCAATTTTGCACGAACAATTGGGTATGAAAAAGCTATCGGCAAGATAGGTGCCGCGTTTGCTCATTGTGCAGCGCGACCGTGTGACGATTTCAAAACAATGTTTGGAGATGTTTCAACGTAATCCAGATAAATTTCTGCCGATTCATTACTGTGGACGAAACATGGATCCATTACTTCACATCCGAGACGGAGGAACAGTCAAAACAATAGACTTCACCGAGTGAACTAGCTCCGAAGAAGGCGAAGATCGTGAAGTCGGCCGGAAAGGTGATGGCCACAGTTTGTTGGGATGCACGCGATATAATTCATATCGATTATCTTCTGTCGAAGCAAGCGATCAATAGCGATTACTACGCAACCTTATTGGACCGTTTCAACAACATTTTAAAGAAAAAACGTCCTCATTTGGTGAAGAAGAAAGTGCTCTTCCATCAAGACAATGCACAGGTGCCGGCATACGTGCCCGGCACCAATGGCCAAATTCAACGAATTTCGCTACGAATTGCTTCCCCATATTCGCCAGATTTAGTCCCCTGTGACGATTTCCTGTTTCCAAACCTGAAGAAATGGTTCGGAGGAAAGAGATTCATCACCAGAGAACAGCTCATCGCCGAAACAGAGATTTATTTTGAAGGGTTGGACAAATCATATTATTCGGATTGAAAATGTTGGAGAATCGTTGGATCAAGTATATAGCTGAAATACGCTATATCTCTGGACTAAATACGTATTTTTTAGTTCAAAACGTGTGAAATTTATTATCTCGAAGTCAGATAAAAACAGATAAATATGAAGCAAATAAAAAAAATTTTATTTTCAATTAATTACAATGCTTCAAAGAATTTATTGAAAAAATTCGCAAAAAATGACTACTTTGGATAAAAAAATTCTTAAATTTTTAAATTTAATATCCAAGCAAAAATCCGTAAGATTTTTTTAGTTGACCCTTTGGACTTAATAAAAAAAATAGTACAATATGAATCGCTCAAAAAAGTATAATTATTTGAACTATAAATCGACATTTTCGAGGAATCTACATATTTTAAGGTTACAATTAATAAATAAATAAATTTTATTATTTGAACAATATAAAAAAGTAAGAATTAGAGATAATTAATAAAAGATTTAGATAGAATTTTGCTTTTATCCCATCCAAAATTTCATGGAAAAAACATCTCTGATTTAATTCATACTCTTTTAATGAATGGTTATTCTCTTAAATTCACATTTTCAACAATAAAAAATAGAATAAAAAACTTTGGAAAGTAGAACCAATTTAGATCAAAATCGTGAGGACAATAATAACGAATGTGACTCTAATTCTAATTCAAAGAAAAAGTTTTTCACGATACCATATTTAAGCAAAGTATCTGAAAAATTTAAAAAAAACTTTCACATATACATGGCTTTAATATAGCTTATAAACCCATGAATAAAATGAATACATTTATAAAAACTGGAAAAGATCCTTTGCTTAGGGATGACCATCGTGGAATAGTCTACAAAATAAATTGTTTAAATTGTGAATCTTCTTATGTTGGCCAAACAAAAAGGAAATTAAAAACTCGTATAAAAGAACATAAGGCTGACATAAGAAAATCCACTTCCGAGATGTCAGTGGTTTCACGTCACCAGTTAAATGAGATGCATGAATTGGATTGGGATAACATAAGAATTTTAGACACAGAATAATCATTGATGAAAAGAAGAATTTCTGAACTGATATACATTAAAGGCCAAATAAGTGATATCAATAAGCAAAGTGACACTGAAGGTTTGCCTGATGTTTATCTTCCTCTTCTTAGGAAAGATCTCTCTCACACTTAATAAATAATTCTAGAACTTTCTAAACTTTTGACTCATATATATAAATACTGGTAAAATATATGATATGACAAATAATAACACACAATGTTACGACAAATTTCCATCTGTGCAAACGATGTACTTGAGATTCATCATTATATTTTTTTGCTGTAAAACAGGTAACGATTCTATTCTCACACATTAGAAGATATTAATACAAATTTGTTAAATTAGAACCTGGAAATTCTCGTTCTACACTTTTCATGATATGACAATTGGCGGTGTAACATTATTGTACGAGGCACCTTCACGTATGAAAGAATACGTTTATATATAATTATATCATACGACGGTTGAATTTAATGTCAGCTATATGTAACTCTTTTAAGAATATTGTGAATTTACTGGAGGATGGCCAGATTGTGGCCGAAACGTCTAATGTTTTAATTAATGTAATGATAATTAAATATCACAAATTATAACTTATGCGGTGGTTTTTTATGCTCTTCTTTTCATACGTTTTGAATTAAACTATGTTCGTTTTTATGATGTATTAAAAGAGTAAGTATAAATAAATAAAGGATTGTACATGTATGAATATTATTATAGTATGTATAATTAAGTTTATTAGGATTTAGTTTAGAAGATGTAACACTCGCTCTAAAGCAATAAATCCGCCCCAGCCGAGCAATCTCCGAAAACTAACAGAAATTATAAAATTTCTATTATTTATTACATTGAAATATAATTCTTTTTAGTTCTACACTTTCATGTACTTATTTTTATACTATCCGAAACTCAATAAACGTATATTTAATAAAAAATAAAGGAGTACCCAGAACGTCAAAAACTTACAGATCACATATAGGTCTCAAGTACCCTCTTTGAACTTTTCGTGCATTCTCACATCGAGAATAACGCAAAAAAAAAACTCTTGCAGGCTTATCATGTCTATAGACAGTTAGTTTTTTTTTCAGCCTCAATCCAGGTCTTTAAATAATGTTATAAAAAAATGACAGCAATAAAAAATCGCGTAGGGTACTAAGAGAGAAATATATACACATATGTCAAAAACTCAAAATTAGCCAGTACACTAATACAAGATATCTGTGCGTAAAACATTAATAATTTAAGTACAAATAAATTAGACTTTCGACTCTGTTTTGAGTTGTCTTCAATTGAGTACAATAAAAAAGATGAATAAATATTTCTTTTACAGTAACAGCATATTGTTTAACCCTTCATCGTCCTTCTGGGTCAAAATGACTAAATAACCCGAGCATTCTTTCACACTAGATTTCAGAACGTTCCTGGCATCGGGAAGATGCGTACCTGCCATTGACTAGAGGCAGTTTAAAGCTTCACCTATCGAGATGCTTAGCTTTTTAATCGGACCGTTAGTACACGTCTAGCAGCCATTCGCGCAAAAAGCGTTTTTTTTTCTCGAGTCAAAGTGTGTCGAGTCAAGTTCTATCAGCAAGTGTCGACCAACGTGTCGTTTTTGTTAACAAATTTATGAATTATATTTTTGCATTAAATTACAAAATGTAGATTGTGTTCTTCAAATAAGGATAAAAAAAATGATGGGGAAAGAATGTTCATTGTGTCTACGATCCATGTGTGATAAACACTCTCTAAATCTAAAAGTGGCATATTTGGTACTGAATTATCAGCATATCATATTAACACATTTGGCACTGGATAATCAGTGAAATTCAATTATAAAAGAAAAGAAGTTTGAGTATTATATAGTTAAAATATCGATTTGCACGTTCTAGCACATTATAATTCTAATTTTACAATACCAAATATACAATACCAATCTAATTTTAACATATATGGTATTTTACAATACCATATATGTTAAATGCGCTACACTTATACACTGAAGCAAGGTTCGCTATAGGTTAGGGATACCACATTTCATTCATTAATTAACAATGGCATATTTAGTACTGAATCAGTGTTATCTACTGATTGAGATTTAGAGAACAGACTCTATTTGTGTACTGAAATTGCTGAAGCAAAGAGTAATGTTTTCTATATATTTTTTGTATTTTACGTTTTTCACTTATATGTCTTCAATATTAATAACAATAATAATAATTTTTACATTAACAATAACTTAAATCAAAAATAAATAGTCTTTTATCCAAATTTAACATCTTTTTTACATGTAAAAGACCATCTTCTACCTTCAAAATAAATACCTTTTTTCAAACAATAGTATGGAGTATAACCATACTATTTTTTTTAAATACATCATCTCAAGAGTATTAGACTAAAATTGCATTTGAAATATTATAAATTTAAAAAGTTATGATTTTTTTTATAATAAAAAAGCATATTTTTCCACGTTTGATTTTTTTTGTGTTAAAATTAAATTTTTCACTAAAGCGTCATTGTTCCATTTTCTCAAAGAATAAAATTATATATTGTAATTTTTTGAAATTGGACTTAAGACTATTGATTCAATAATATTATAAAGATGGCTCGAGTCATTTTAATCCAGAGTAACCATTGACTTTATTTAAGTGTCACCATGAAAGTTAAATGATTGCTTGAGAGACATCATGAAACTAATGTCCCCAAAAAATGTATACAAATTTCGTAATTCTACTTTAATTTATGGACAAATTATGTCAACAAATAAAAAAAAGAAATAAATAAAAAGAAATATGATAAATTTAAACTACAAACATCTTCAGTATTTGACAGAACACTTGAATCCAAACACGTGTATCCAGAACATGTGTATCCAAATAAAACTAAAATACATAGAGTCAAAAAAATAATTTAAAAGTATCAATTAGAATTAAAACTTACAATGGTAATAGAATTATGATGAAAATCCAGATAAAGTCCAAAATAAATTTAGTGTAACATGGCGAGATCAGTATAACAAAAGTGATAAGTGAGAGAAATAAATAAACTGTTTAACTTTCGGTAATTCTAAAAAAGATGACTTCTTTTAATTGCACCTCTCTAAATTTTTATATTTGCAATATTAAACAAATTATATATATAAGAAAAATATATACCAAAATAAGCAAAAAGTGACAGTAGAAGAATATAGAAAATGAATAGATTACAGAATTCGAATTCGAAATTAGCATCGCTTATTCATCAATGTTATAGCTTACAATTTTGTCGAAATTTTCAAATCACGAGAAAGATTCCTCTCTTGTTCATAAATTACTATCTTCCTTTTTTCTTGGCTCTGAAGATTCGATGCAACAGCTGTCACTTTTTTCACTTTTTTAAATTTTCGTTTCGTTCTACCTCGATTAATTTTAACGAAAATAACGAGATCTGGTTTGACTACAGCTTTAAAGCTTCATAATCTTCATTCTGCACATTAATCATTGCATAAATAAACAATAGATACTTATAATAGAAAACAGTAGTAGAAAACTACACTGCGTATTCGCTACGTATTACAAAAATCGACACAGAACTACAGTCAACTACCGTACAACATACAACGTTGTCAGAGAGAAACCTAAGAGGAGCCATGTCGAACTTTTTTCTATTACTGTCGAAATTGCCTGTACACTACTGCCAGTACATCCATTTCTGGTTTGGGAACTATGTGACTACATCCATTTTCTGATACTGTCGATAAAAATCATAACCACCGATGAGATATGGCTGCTACATATGAACGCGAAAACGCTTGACGCGCGGCAAAATGAGACGCGGTAACAATGAACATATTAGGAACTGTAAACTTTTATTGGCTACCGCATCACATTTTGCCGCGCGGCAAGCGTTTCCGCATCCAGTGTGCAGGAGCCATAAGTATTATAATACATATAGTATAAACACTGAACTTTTTATGTCCCCATTTTTAGTACGCATGTGTCGATTTCCAACCAGGAATGTGGCTACCTTCAGCAAGTTGAAATTGTAAGTTAGATTAGGTTAACTAGATCTCTTTCCTATAATAAAATATAATTAACCCTTTTGCCTACAATATATTGTATGAGACTCGTGGTAAGGAAATCGGGCCAAATATGAGTATCACGAGTGAAAGCCGTGGTACGTCGTTCGTACAAAGCTTAATTTTTTTTTAATTTGTGAGAGAAAAGTATGGCAAAGGGTTTAATAAAATTAAATTTTTCTAAAAAATTAAATCAAATTTTTTCAGAGACGCTATATTGTGTAGACTGTTATATTTGTATACAATAAAGTATTCTCGTAATGAAGTATGCATGTGTGCGCGCGCGCGCGCGCGTGTGTGTGTGTGTGTGTGTGTGTGTGTGTGTGTGTGTGTGTGTGTGTGTGTGTGTGTGTGTACTATTAAATTACAACTTCACATTTAATTACAATTTTCATGCAATATATTGGGTCATCTAAAAAGTATCCGCGGTTTTTTGTCACTAGATGTGTGTTGATGGTCATATATCTAGTGACAAAGCGGATACTTTTTAGATGACCCAATATTATTTTTTCGTAATTATTCAATTACAATTTTCGTATATTATTTAATCAATTATTATTTTTAATTTACTTATTACTGTTTAATATTATTATTATTATTATTAATGTGAATATTATTTTTATATAATGAGTTCGATAACATTATACAGTAGAGTCTCTCTAAATTTGACTTCTGTAATCTTTACATTCCTCACACATACTTTTACAAACACTAATGTCATGTCCCTTCCATGCTACAGTAGGTTGGACATGTGTTGCGCGCGCATCTGCATCTAATTGTACTAGGTTCTCACAGTGTAATGTAATTCCATAGGTAGATTATGTATAACTGATTATATATTTGTGTATTCTTTTGTGATACATATGTACATACTAGACTTGTTCTGTTAAGGTTATGTACACTGTAATGCACTTTGCAGGTTAGCATGCACAACTGCGTTCACGCAAGTACGCAATGATTGATAGACTCGTGCTATAAAGAGAGTTCTCTATAATTTTGGCATTCCACTTATCGCTCAATGGGCCAAATTTAAAAAGACTCTACTGTATTATTCTGCTGTATATAATTCTGATTTAAAAATATACTCGCTATAAACAATTTTCATAATACAACCGAATTATGTCTTTTTTCATAAATTTATAAGCACCTTTCCAACACGGCGGCGAGTCATGTGACCACTAGAACATCAGAAGTGTCAACGCTCAGTGTTCATATTGTATATACTTATATTATGACTGTGGTCAAACTTTCGCTACAAATGCTTTGAAGCATTTGATAAATCAATTAGAAGAAAGAATTTTACAAACTGATCAGTTAAAAAATGCTTCAAAGCGTTTGCAGCATCGTATTGACCGTACCCTATGCCAATAATATTATAGCGCGGTCCCATAGTGCAGAATTGGTGCAATGCGGAATTGGAGGAACGTTCGTGATTGATTGTGGCTTCCGCTAAAATGTGTTTTCCTATGTCTTATTGAGCAAAATTTGCGGAATGCGCAATTAGCTCTGATCAATCGTAAGTCTTTCCGTAGATCACTTTATATCTAACAGAATAGCGTTTGTGATTGGCTCGCATTGATTGCGCATCCACAATTTCCGCTCAATGGGACATAGAAAAATGAATTCCTGCAAATCGGAAATCACACATACATACAGAGCAGAGCATTGATTTCATTTTATGTACCCATTTTGATTTTGATTTACATTTTCGCCTTTCTCTATACCATTTATACAACATTCGTATTCTAACCATATTGACCTCTGTATTTATCTGGAGACTTAATTAATTATCTTTAGGATTATGTTCAGGGTGCCGTCCCATCGAACGGAAATTGACAACGGAACGGAACTCGCGGTATCAACGACGAATCACAATCGTTCCGCTATTTTCGCTATAATTTCGCTGCATTCTGTTTCACGCATGATGCGTATAATGTATCATTTATTCTTGTTATTTACCAAATAAACAAGGATAAATGATGCATTATGTATATCATGCGTCAAACGGAACGCAGCCACTGTTACAATTTGCAAAATGGACGAAAGTTGCACATAACCTCAATATTATATGCTGTCGATGTGTATTACAACCATTGTCCATATAATGCGATTGGTTACATACAGTTTTTGTCTTTATTAATATGGACACAGTAACAGAATGTTAATGATTCGATGATTACAGTAAATATAAATGTAGATATTAATCAGCCGCCTACGATTCCGTTTATTTTCTTTCCTCTTATCCATTGAGCGATAAACGCGGAAGCGGAATCAAGTTTCAGCCAATTATGAGATAGTTTTACGGTTATGTTAAAAACATTTTACTGCTAAAGAAGTTCTAATCCAGATAGCACACAGGTCATTTTGACGTCAAATTCTGGTCATATTGATATGACATCATGTGACCAAAAATTGACCAACCGATGTTTTCGCACGTCATTATGACATCATATTTTGGTCTCGCTTAATTTTCAGTTAGCAAATACATAATTTTGATTTTATATAGCTTTGATTTCTCATTGATTTATACCGATGCACATCAAAATATCACTTGTAATAATAGTTTCGTTTTTATGCCAATCATTCATAATTTTAATTAATACATAAGGTATTTAAAGCTTATGCCTCTGTTGACAGCTTAATATTACTAATATTTGAAGAAATTACATGAAATAATACGTTAATATTATTAACTTAATTAGAAAATGATAATGACAAAGATACTGTCCTCAATCTCGAGAAATCGTTCGATCCATGGTGAAAAGAATGTAAGGTGAAACATTGCGTATAATGTTAATAAAAAATAATAAAAACCTTCGGTGGAAACTAGGTCTGTGACAGATTTTCTAACCTGAATAGTCTTAAGATCAATATATCAGATTCACAAAGCAGAATGATGCTTCTTCCTGCCAGATTCCTTCGTTTTTTGAAAAACACATCGAGCAAGCCTAATTTTATCGATTTCTCGTGTAAAAAATGAAGGTTTGACAAGAAAAAAAAGATAATAATTTAGTTTCACCACTGCCATTTCAAAAATAAATGAAATTAAGTTTACTTGATGTAGTTTTGCATAAACCAAAGGAATCAGGCAAAAAAAAGCGTTACTCTGCCCAGCAAGTCTGAGATATCAATCGTTAAAGTTTACGACTATTCAGGTTAGAAAATCCGTCACAGCCACAAAATACTGCGATGCGAATAAGCGCTGCGGTCACATTTTCATATGAGGCGCGAGCCTATGTCTGACATGTTAGACTATTTAATAAATTTTGTTGCGAATGCTAAGCTATTTTCCATAACAGGTCCACATCGGGCACAAAACTAGACTTTTTATGGACCATGTCAGATTTTTTTAAGTTATGGCGTAGCAAAGTAGTGGCCAAGTATCGTGGCGCTGGCCAGTATCGTGGCATTCGTGACACTGACGAGGAAATGTCTATCAGGGCACACACATGCAATTTATTTGTAACTATTAAAATCCTTCAATAAATTTCGGCTGTAAATTATTATTTACTATATTTGTCTTAATTAATATGTCATAATCACAGATAATAAGCCGATGGCGTTTATTATTTTTATGTTAAAATGATAACTAATAATGATAACTAATAATGTCAGCATTGTTAGCTATATGAGTCTCAACACAATGATAGGTCGTAACTAAGTCATAAAACACCAGTTATAATCGTAGCACAATATTTTGGGATTGTGCACTGACCCACAACTACGTTTCACGATTGAGCATGTGAATGAGATCCTATGCTGAGATCCTATATAATACTGCTTGAAAACGTCCTAACATGACGTCAAATGATGTTCCCGCGATGATGCAATAGTCTGCGATATTCGACCATCATTAAAATGTCATTAAGATGTCATCTAATGACGTCATCTATGATCAGTAAATGACCAACATGACGTCAAAATGACGTGTGTTTGCTACTTGGGAATGTTTACTAAGTTATTATATACATTATATATACATTATATATACATTATTATATTTACATTAATTGTAAACTATTTTTATTATTACAAGTATTGTAAATAATATAAAAAATATGATTTCATATTATTCCGCGTGTTCTGTTTCCGCTTATTCCGTTCAATGGGACATAAAGGACTTATGGCTCCTGCATATAGAACGCGGCAACACTTGCCACGCGACGGAAGTTGACACAACAGTCAATCAACGTCTCACTTGCTCGGAAATAATAGATAATTTCCACCGCGCGACAAAAGTTAAACTCAATCCAACTTCTGCCACGCGACGGAAGTAATATTACATCATTTCTAGAAATTTTGCATAGTAAGGCAGACTTAAGACATAGAATTATTGGTTAGTGCGATAACTTCCGCCGCGCAGCAAGCGTTTTCTCGTTTAGTGTGCAGAAGCCATTAGGGTGCCGTCCCATTAGTGGAAATTTACAAAATACATAAGGTATTTAAAGCTTATGCCTCTGTTGACAGCTTAATATTACTAATATTTGAAGAAATTACATGAAATAATACGTTAATATTATTAACTTAATTAGAAAATGATAATGACAAAGATACTGTCCTCAATCTCGAGAAATCGTTCGATCC